GGGCTGGGGATTCGAACCCGCCACCTTAGGTGTATGTGGCTGGCGCCTTAGCCGCTTGAGCCACAGGCGCCGAGCCCAGCACAGAATTCTGTATCCTGCTAAACTAAGCTTCACAATTGATGGGAGAAATAAAATCTTTTAAAGATATATAAGCACTGAGGAAATTTGCCACAGCATGACCAGCTCTACAGGAAATACTTAAGACCTATTCTCTACACTGACCACCACAATGGATCACCAGCAAAGGAAATACCCAGAACCTAAAGGTCAAAATTTAGCTTCTACGGTGGCACAAAGGATAAAGCTACACAATGACTTTCACAAAATAAGATGAATAGAACTCCACCACACTTATCATTTCTCTCAATAAATATCAATGGACTGAATACAGCACTGAAGAGGCACAGGCTTACTGATAGGATCAAAAAGCACAAACCATGTACATACTGTCTTTAAGAGACACACCTAGCCTTAAAGGATAAATCAAGATTCAAGAGTTGAGGGATGGAAAACAATATTTCGAGCAAATGGAAATCAGAAGAAAGGAGGGGTAGCAATCTTATTTTCAGATATAAGTGAATTGAAAGCAAATAAAGTTAAGACAAACAAAGATGGACACTTTATACTGGCCAAAGTAACAATTCAACAAGAAGAATTTCAATTATTAATATTTACGCACCCAACTTAAATGCTGCTAGATTTATGAAACAGACTTTGAAGGGTCTGAGAAATATGATATCCCATAACACTGTAATAGTCAAGATCTTTAACACCCCTCTGAAAGAAGTGGACAGATCCTCTAAACAGAAACTAAACAAAGCTGCAAAGGACTTAAATGTGACCCTAGAACAAATGGGATTAACAGATATATAAAGAACACACCATCCCAGAGCTAAGGAATATACATTTTTCTTGTCAGCTGAGAGTACATACTCCAAAATCAACCACATCCTCAGATACAAATGAAACCTCAGCAAAATTAAAAGAATAGAAAGTATACCTTGTATCTTCTCAGACCACTAGGCAATAAAGGTGGAAATCAACTCCAACAAAAATGTTCATCCCCACACAAAGACGTGGAAATTAAACAACCTTATGCTATGGCTCAGGGCCTGTGGCTCAAGTGGCTAAGGCGCCAGCCACATACACTTAAGGTGGCGGGTTCGACCAGCCTGGGCCCGCCAAACAACGATGGCTGCAACCAAAAAAAAATGCCCAGGCGTTGTGGCGGGCGCCTGTGGTCCCAGCTACTTGAGAAGTGAAGGCAGGAGACTCGCTTGAGCCCAGGAGTTGGAGGTTGCTGTGAGCTGTGATGCCACAGCACTCTACCCAGGGGGACAGCTTGAGGCTCTGTCTCCAAAAAAAAAAAAAAACCCAACCTTATGCTGAACGATAGTTGGGTCCAGGAAGAGATTAAAGAGAAAATTGTTAAATTCCTCAAACATAACAACAATGAAGACAAAAGTAACCAAAACCTATGAGATACAGCAAAAGCAGTATTAAGAGGGAAATTTATCGCATTAGATTCTTACATTTGAAAAACAGAAAGAGAGTTTATCAACAAACTCATCAACCATCTTATGGAGTTGGAAAAAGAAGAAGCAGCTAATCCCAAACCCAGCAGAAGAAAAGAAATAACCAAAATTAAATCAGAGCTTAATGAAATTGAAAAAAAAATCATACAGAAAATTAACAAAACAAAAAGTTGTTATTTCAAAAATAAATAAAATTGATAAATCTTTGGCCAG